CTGTAAGTTTGTTTATTTCTTTAACTTTAGGTACTTCTGTAACTTCAGGTACTTCTGTAACTTCAGATACTTCTGTAACTTCAGGTACTTCTGTAACTTCAGGTACTTCTGTAACTTCAGGTACTTCTGTAACTTCAGGTACATCTGTAACTTCATGTACTTTTGTAACTTCAGCTACTTCTGTAATTTCAGGTACTTCTTTAACTTTAGGTACTTCAGGTAATTCTATAACTTCAGGTTCTTCTGTAAGTTTGTTTACTTCTTTAGGTACTTCTGTAACTTCAGGTACTTCCATAATTTCATGTACATCTGTAACTTTAGTTACTTTTGTAACTTCAGGTACTTCTGTTATTTCAGGTACTTCTATAACTTCAGGTACTTCTGTAACTTCAGGTACTTCTATAATTTCATGTACATCTGTAACTTTAGTTACTTTTGTAACTTCAGGTACTTCTGTTAATTCAGGTACTTCTATAACTTCATGTACTTTTGTAACTTCAGGTACTTCTGTTATTTCAGGTACTTCTATAACTTCAGGTACTTCTGTAACTTCAGGTACTTCTGTTATTTCATGTACATCTGTAACTTTAGTTACTTTTGTAACTTCAGGTACTTCTGTTATTTCAGGTACTTCTATAACTTCATGTACTTTTGTAACTTCAGGTACTTCTGTTATTTCAGGTACTTCTATAACTTCAGGTACTTCTATACCTTCAGGTATTTCTGTAACTTTAGGTACTTCTCTGACTTTATGTACTTCTGTAACTTCTAGTTCTTCTGTAACTTCAGCATGGTCCATTTTAGCTGCATGTCTTTGTGGCTCTAAGTTTTCTTGCTCAACGTTTTTTTCGAGGAAAGACTCGACCTGTTTTGAGTCATCAATTCCATCGGGTGCAATAGTTTCTGAAGAAGATACTTCTTTATTGAGGGACTGATTCTCTTCTGGATATAATGTGGGCGCTTGTACTGCTTCTAGTACTTCTGTAGGTTCTGTGTGGGCAGCTTCATCTTTTTGTAGCCTTTTTCCAGGGTCATTAGTTTCTTCATCTAGAGATTTGGTCTGCTTCAGTTCATCTGAATCTTTTTCATCTGGTGCACTTTCTTCTTCTTCATTAAGAACCTGAACAGTATCTTCTTTTGGTTCTAGTGTTGGTGCATGTACAACTTCTGTATCTTCTTTATGGTCAACTTTACTTGTGACTGTTTCAGACTCTTTCTTCTCTGGTTTATCAGCTTCTTTGGTTTCATCCGTATTTGTTTCAGGTGGTGGAGTACCCTTTGAGGGTTGAACGTCACATGACTGAACATCACCCTCCTCAGCTGTTTTAGCTCCCTCTTCCTGTCCATCCCCCACAGCGACAACTTGATCCTCAATCACAGCTTGCTCTGAAATTGTTGTTATGGTCTCGGCATTGGTTTCTGCAAGAATTTGGAATTCTTTTTGACCATCAGCATCCTCAGTTTCACCTGCTGATGTAACAAATACTTCTTCTTCCTGATAGTCTGTTTTGGAGAAGGATTTTTCACCCATCATGCCTTCTTCCTCTGTGGGTAAGTTCTCTGTAGACATGGCTGATACATGTTCCACCACATCCTGGCTCTCGTCACTCATTTCCAATTCTTTAATGCTTTCTCGTACCTCTAAAACATTGGCCTGATAAGTTTCATCTGTAGCATATGTGGCAGTGTCAAACTTCTCGATAGGAACCTCTGACACGATTTCTGTTAGCAGCACTTCATTGAAGTGAAAGACGTTCTCAGTTTGGACTGTCGCTGCAAGTTTACTAACTGCGTCGATTTCTTCAGCATCTAAGCCTGTCTCTAAGGCTGTTGCATCAGATTTACTGTGTATTTCTAGAACTCTGGGATGGTCTGGTACAGATGATTCAAACACTTGATGGTAGATAGAACCAGAAACATCATCAGAACTTGGTTCTTCTGAACACACTGGGACTTTAGCTGGACGTAAAGAGATGGTGTCAGAAACTTGCTGCAGCAGTAACTCTGTGTTTAAGACAATGTATTCTGCTGGTACCGGTGTCATGTTGCCAGATGTGTTTGATGACTCTATCAACTGAGAAACGGCAGAAACCATCTCTGTCTCGTCTGCTATAGAAGCGTCCACTGGCTCTGGAGCAGTTATGGCCTCGGATGTGATCTCTATCAGGTCCTCTGCGATGGTTTCATCTCTCGCTGCCTCTTCGACAGCTACGGCTGGAGTGGGCTCTGTGACTACACCCTCCTCTGGAATATCACTGAGCTGCTGATGTTTACTGGTTGATTCTGTGAGTTCATCCGGTTCTTCGTTTCCTAATGCTTCCTTTGGACTCTCATTTGTTTCAGTTGGCAGAAGGTCACAAGGTAGGGCTGACTCGGTTTTCTCCTCATAAAGGTTATTTTGGAGTTCTTTATAACTTTGTATGTCCGCCTGTACTTGGATCTGAACCAGTGTTTCTGCTGTATCAAATTCAGACAGTGGAACCACGGCGGGGGTCTCAGAGTCCTCATCTCCTGAGGCCACTTCCTGATCAGCCTCATCCGAAGACACTTGGCTTTGCCTTTCAGCTGACTTTCTGTCTTTTTTGCTTGGTAGGAGTTTTTTCATGAAAAAAGAGGAATCATCTTGAATAGCTTCACCAAGGCATACATCGTCATCTTTTACTTTTCGCTTCGGGTTGACTAGATTTTTTAATGATTTCCACGCTGTCCCTTCATCACCCTCTGAAGGACTTCCTGACTGACTGAGGGACGAAGGCAGCACCTGTTGCACCTCATTAGGTGATTCTAGAGGTGTCTCTTTAGGTTCACTGTCCTGCTTTTTATCTTCATCATCCTTTGGGGGTGTTTCATCATCTGAGTCAGACGTTTTCCTGCTCCTCCTCCTTCCAGATCCACACAAAACGGCTTCCCATGACACTGATGAATCTTTTCTCTTCTTTCCTTCCTCGGTGCTGTGATCTGATGTTTGCTCTCCTTTACCTGGTTTTGTTCCATCCACCCCACCTGGGGTTTGTCTCTCTTCGTGGTCCAAAGACGGTGTCTTCTTGTGCTTTTGTGGAGTCATGAGCTTTCTGAATGAAGCCCAAGCTCCATCGTCTCCACCTGCTGCCTGAGCAGAGGGTTGTGCAGGAGTTTCCCCTCTCTGATGGTCAGCCGACTCTGTAGAGGACTGCAGCTGATCGGAGCTATATTCACCGGAGCTGGGCCGCTTTGCATCGCTTGATTTTCTGCTTGTCTGCTTTTTGGAGAGTCTCTTAAAACTAGAGCTTGACATGAGCCTTTTCAGGGGACTGGCTTGGACTTTGTCATTTTCTTGTGTGTTGATTATGTCTGTCTCAACTTCAGAGGGGGGTTTAACTTCGTTCCTGTCTTGAATCGACTCTGAAGTCAGTCTTTCCTCTTTACCATTCTCGCTCTCTGTTGTAGCTTTGGAAGAAACTTCCTTCTCCTCATGTTGATTTTGTACACTTTGATCAACCGGCTCTGCAGCTGTTTTCACTCCTTTCTCTAACAGTTCTTTTTCGGTGACTTTATCTTCCACGAGGCTCTTTCTCTTTCGAAAGCTAGAAAAGATCCCGGTTGTAAAAAACCTTTTAAACGGCGTAGTGATCTCTTTTCCGTCAGAACCAGCTGGAGATGTTGGAAGCCGTTCCTCTTCTGGTGCACCGTTCTCTTGGATCAATAAAGTTGTTCCTGTAGCCGCATCACAAGATGCAATTTTCTCTTTGGCTTCGGTTCTCTCCACTGTTTTTTCTACACAATCCAGAGATGCAGCATCTGCCAGAGTCTTACAGGTTGTGAAATCGTCATCATGAGCCTCCTGTGCTCTGTTGGGATCCGTATTTTGTTCTTTTATTTCATTTGTGCTATCTTCCAAGTCTTCTTGTTTGCTTGGCGCTTGTTTCACTATTGAGTCTTTGTCGGCTGAGCCTCTCTTTACCGTCAGCTTCAAGCTAATGTTGCTGAAAAATCTTCTGAAACTTTCATTGATGTCATTTTGCTTGGCATCCACTTGGATCATTTCATCTGTCCCAACCTGATCAGCAACATCTTCATCTGGCAGCTCCTTTAAAATACTCTCGTCGTCTATGGGCGCCTCCATTTCTTTAGATCGCTCTGAAGCGTCGATGTCCGGAGAAAAGACGGCTAAACCAGAAAAAACGTAATCATTAAAACAGTTTGGTTACGAGGGCTGCAGAAGGATGAAAGTCTGTGAGCTGAGATCCAACAAGTCATGTTTCCATTGAAATGTTTGTAATGTTTGTCAATGAGCAGTGACTTTAGACACACTCACCCTCCACAGCCATCTCCTCCTCAAGGTGACCATTTTTCGCTGCGACAGAGCTGCTTCCATCGATCTCAGCAATCGGCACATTTCTTCTGACAACCTGAAGAAAAGAGTAAACTGTAGCTCCAGTCACGAGATCAACAAATGATTTTACAGCTGAAATATAGAAGTCAGCAGCGACAGTCATACTAGAGCATCTTTTATTTTAAAGTCAAGTTGAACGTCTCTGCTGAAAGTTTGAGGCGTGCCTGAAATTATTCCGTTCGTCATCTTTCTTCTCTGAAGCCCAAGAATAATTTGGGACTTAGTTCTTCCTTCTTTCGGCTGCTCCCTTCTTCAGGGGTCGGTCGTCACAGCAGACCAACTCACACAAAACCTGGTGATTGTTTTTATACCGGATGTCCTTCCTGATACACCCGCAGACCACCGAGCTACCACAGCCCTCTGTGTGGAGCAGAGAGCATATTTCACCTTTGCCTCAACGCGTTGCAACCAAAGGTCATATACTTTACTGATCAACTTTTACATTTTTGTGTGTGTATAAACGTTTTTTGAAAGTTGCAGGAGAACATGATTTAAAACTTAAGACAAAAGAGAAGAATGATTTGAAGAATGAATGCTTCAGGATTTGACTTCCTGTGAAATAAAAGGTATTTTCGTCTGTGAGTCTCAAGTCTTTTTAAAACAAACAGTCCAGTCTCTACTGGACGGATGACGTGTCCTTTAACTTAATCCTATTTGCCTAAATCTTAAATCCATGAGACAGATTAGTTTGGAGAGTCTGAGTCGGGTTTAGAAAACAAGAAACACGTGATGTAATGTACCTCATACAAATGTAAAAACAGTCAGTTCTTGAATAATTAGAAACATTTCAAACTGTTTTTATGGTCCTTTAGACATAAAATGTGTTAAAACTTGTTGTGTAACACCAAAACTAATGAGTAAAGCATAAAACAGATTTTTCTAAAGTAAATGGAAAAACACTAAAACAAGAGGATTTAGAGCATTACTGAACGTCAAAAGTTCAAAGTTCATGTTTTTGTAATAAGAAAATTTTGCTCTCACATTCACCAGAGCTGTGAGTTTCGTCTACTTTGACTGAAAGTGTTCCTCTAAAGCCAGAAGAAAAGGTCTAACAGTCCTCGAAGGAATGCTTATCGCCCGCTGCCTTCCATACCACAGGTTTACACTAAAACCATCTTTTGTTGAGAAATACTGGAGCTGTAAACATGGGTAACACCAAAACGCTCTTGTGCTAAACTTTATGTCAACGACTCTCAGCTGCTGCCACATCTAATTTTAGCTCAGTATCTGTAAAAATAGCCTGTTTTGTTTTGGTTACATAATGAGACATCATATAAATGGTAAATGGACCGTACATATACAGCTCCTTTCTATCTAATGAAGATACTCAAAGCTCTTTACAACACAATCTGTGCCCTCATTTACCTCCACACACACAGTACAGCACTCTACTACACACACATTCATACAGAAACGCCGTAAGCTTTTACACTTCTCACAAACCGCACCATGGGGTACGTTGTTCAAGCCAAGAGCCATTGTCAGTAGGGGGGTTAAGCACCCCAAAAGATCAGATCCTAGAACATAGGCGTAGCCAGGATTTTATGAGGGGCGGTTCGTTTGAAGAAAAAGTGGACCTGTAGGACTACTCTGATTGGTTCATTGGCGGTGGTACACATAACTTCAAATGTGTAAACAAGCTAATTAGCTAGCTAGTTAAAACACTGCTGTGTGAGGTAAATCTGTGTTACCAAATAGGCGGTTGTGAGTGGAGAAAGAGCAACACACTGAGAGGGGAATAGCGTGTGTGTCCAGTCTTCTATTCAGAACTCATCCCAGACACGAACGAACACTTCGGTACTCCCGAGTCCCGCCCGAACATACACAAAAAAAAAAAAAAAACACCGAAGAAGAATGAAAGACGTCATCCTCTTAAAGGCACAGTACCACTCCTTAACTCTAACAACATAAATGCAAACTAAGCCCGCAAACGGTACTACTTTAAATACACAAATGAACAGTTGAATCAAAAACCACAATGTAATTTTACCGTTTGAATCCACCGTGTTGCCTTCCAAGCCAGGACAGAGTGAACGTCGTCTTCACCTCGCAGTTCTATATCTCGCGGGAGTTGTAGGTGGGACTTCATTGGCAAAGTGGGCGGTTCGTTCGAACCCCCCGAACCCCCCCTGGCTACGCGCATGCCTAGAATCACCCCCTGCTCTGAAACCAATCTTTCAACCAAGATTCATGATGTTGAACTGGTTCATGAAAGGCTTGTAGTGAACTTAACCTGATGTCAAAACTAAGCCTAAGGTCAAAACCCTTGACCTTAAGAACCTTGTGGGACAGAAACTGTCATTTCATTGATTTGAATCCAGAAATACAGGTTCACCCATCCTGAGACTTTCTTTCTTGAAAATTCAAGTGAAAGAACACTCTCTTTTCTATTATCATTCCTGTTTTACAAATGTTTGATAATCAAAGTGTTTTAGTTCAAACATTTTAGATGTTACAGTGAACTAATCAATTTTATTAACTGTAAAACAGTAACAATGATTTTTTAGTTGCTTATGCAAAGTAGAATTCATGTTAAGGCCTGTTACAGATTTTTATGCATTTTCTGATTTCTGTCTTTGAATGAGCAAGTGTGCGTTTTCCAAGGTCAGGAGTCGAAGCAGACATGTGTTGGAACAACTGTCTTGTTTACATCCTCTCAGACGTCAACAGAGAAGTTGGCACCTGTTTCTCCAAACTCGCCAAAACAAAACTCTCTCTGTCTCTGAGAACAGTTTAATCTGTTCCATAACAATTCTTGCTGTTTTCTGACTTCTAGTAACCTCTTACGTCACAAACCACACCCCTGTCTGGTTGATATTGACCAATCAGGAACTATCAAATATACCGGAAATAGAGCTCTTTAAAATGCCGGTACTTCCTAGTTCTCTCAGCGCGGAGAGGTTCTGAGATGTTCGCAGTTCTGTGAAGTCGTTTGGGAGAACAGAAGTCCAGCCATGATAAGGCTCTTCCGAGTTTGGATTATAACATCTTCCACCTCTGAGTGGAACTTCTGAAGAACCCCACTCATGTGGAGTCCACCCGGTGAGGTGAACTGTTGTTGACGAAGCCCCGTCACCACTTCGGACGAGTCACAGCCATCCTATGGAGACGCTGAAAGGTAGCGTTAACTGGAGCTCCGCTTCTTCTGATTCATCTTCAGAGAGGTAAATGAGTCTAGTCTCCTACTTAGCGTACCGAGGAAAAGCTGGGTCGGATGGAGGGTGTCGTCCTGTCAACACTTTTCACTCATACACACCACATTCTCCCTCATCCATCTTTCACTCCCTTTAAACTCCATCTTTCCATCTTTAAATTCTTCTCTCAAGTAGAAATCATTCCAGATATTTTAGAAATGTCTGTGTAAAGTGCTCATTCCACCGCCGTGTGGATTGAGGTCTGCTGTTCTGCTGAAGAGTGAAAACAATCGCCGCATTGTTTCTCACTACCTGTAAAGCTGTTTAATTATGTTGTTATTTTCATATTTTGCCAAATTAATGTAAATGTTTGATGTTAAACTTTGATTCTGTAAAATAAATGACCGCATTCACTTTGATGGGTCAAAGATAAATGACGTCTCACGTTACATTTTATTAAATTCAATGCACGTTTTATTCAGTCCAGAAAAATGAAGAATCCGTTTTAATTGATGAATATATCTCAGCATCTGTTCATCTACATATTGGTGGCCCGTGACGTGTTCATAAATGGACTGTGTATTCGTGTACAGATTGATATTACGTGTTGGCATGAAAAAGAAATAACAGAGTTGTTTGCTGTGCTGAAACGCAGCTGGAGCTGCGCGCTTGGAGCTTGACTCTGCATGTTTACGCTGGCAATGTTTTGAAGCTGAAATTGTGAGTCATATGTCTTTATGAAAGCTGAAATTGTACGTCTGTTATGTGTAACTAAGCTGGATTTGTGTGGAAACGCTTTACTCTGTTTAAACTGTGGTCCGGACGGAGGTTCGGTTCTGGTTCCGGCTCGGTTCTGAACAGTTCGACCGGGTTGTTTTAAATGGTGGGAAAGATGTTTTTAATGCCGGGGCGCCGACTCCGTGCAGCTCAGAGCTTGATTCGTGACACTTGTAACAGAAATTGGTGCATTTTGACAGTTTAAAAGGCGAAAAGTTGTCAAATTATTTCAGGCTAACAGTAACATGCTAGTTGGAAAAACGGTCCGTGATTGGTTGAGTTAGCTGCGGTGTACCCATTATTGGATCTGATGACCTGTAGTCTGCTCTGACCAAGTGTCAAAAGATTATAGTGACTCTGAGGTCTTTAGTAAAAAGTTCTTATGTGTTGACATGTTCAGAATCAGAATAAGCTTTATTATCATTGCACCGAGATACAACTAGAATATGTACATGCAGTTGTCCAGAAGATGGACGGAGTGCACGAAGCTGCTACTGCTCTAAGCCCGGCCTCTCTTATCCTTTTTCAGAATAATAATCTTAGATAGGAAAAAGGGGAGAATGTTGTATGAATGTGTGTGTGTAGTAGAGTGCAGTATGAATGTGTGCGTAGTAGAGTGCTGTATGAATGTGTGTAGTAGAGTGCTGTATGAATGTGTGTAGTAGTAGAGTGCTGGATGAATGTGTGTGTCGTAGAATGTTGTATGAATGTGTGTGTAGTAGAGTGCTGTATGAATGTGTGTGTAGTAGAGTGCTGGATGAATGTGTGTGTCGTAGAATGTTGTATGAATGTGTGTGTAGTAGAGTGCTGTATGAATGTGTGTGTAGTAGAGTGCTGGATGAATGTGTGTAGTAGTAGTAGTCCTGTATGAATCTGAGAAATGATCAAAGAAATGAATGTGACTGCAGGACTGTCGTTGT